TCTAGTGGATTTTCTTTTCTATCTTCTAACACCCATAATATTCTGCAGTGCTTGTTGACAGTCCATGAAGACAAGATTGTTGAACTAGGTCTCCAAAAAGGCTGTCCTCTTATCTCAGACTGCTGGATTCCACGCTCTGAATAAATAGTGAACTTTTACAACTGTAGGAATAGCATACGTATTTATTTTGGGTGCTTTTTAAGCTCAATATGCTACACTACATTTTACCAATAAGAAGTGAATTTCTATATAATATGGAAATCCAATCTGATTGGTCTTTGAATGTTTAACCAGAAGAATTAGAATTCTTTGTTTATTCAGGGATCGTAACACATTTCGTATTAATTCAGACAGAGTCAAGTTTATAAAAAGTAAGACATTTATTTTCTAAACAATTAAAAACATGACAACTAGGAAACACTTTATCTGATGAATGAATCTAAGTGGATGGAATGTGAGATGTGATGATGTGTGAATATGATGCTATCAGAACCTTCGTCTCTGAGGAAACTGAGTTCTGAGTGGGAGTGAATTTGGTCTGCTATAAACTACAATTGATGGTTTATAAAACCACATCAAATGCAATCTGTTGAGTCTACATACCCTTTCGGAGACCCCCGTTGTAGATCCGGAATGTCAGGAAGTCCGGGGACCCCAAAGGTACCGAAGTTCGTAGAAGAAGAGTCGGAGCTGGTTCTGCTTTATTCTGAAGGAACCGTTTGCGGTCAGCTGTAGCGTGCAACAGGTTTTGACAGCTTGTCAAAAGATGCAATGGGAGAAGAGGTTTCCTCCGATGGCTAGTCAGAGTGAGGCTCAACTGACTCACTCAGGAAGTGAGTTCTGTTTTAATGATGGCCATATTTTGATTATATGGCCAATCAGAATTTGACATGTAAATGGGATTTGCCAATAAACCTCAGAAATACACCTCCCTCAGAAACGAAGATGCTGATTTTGTGGATAAGAAAATATCTATGTGCAGTGCCGTGTAGTGGAATATAGTTGTATATTCTTACACTTTTTATTAGGTCCAGATATTATAATCAGAAGAGGTTGTTTTTACATCAGGGAGTTTTATTTAAACACTTTGTATTGACTTAGAGACAAGAAAAGAGAGAGTTGGGATTGTTTAAGAATCTTTAATTTCTATAATTATAAATTCAAACAATCATCCAGGACTAACTCTCTATGATGGATGCATATGGATTTGAATGTTGAAGTGTTGGTGTGTGTGTGTGTGTGTGTGTGTGTGTGTGTGTGTTCAGAATCTCCAGGCTGAGGCAGGCGGATCTGGGTGTCAGATGTTTTGACTAGGAACCACGAGGGCTTCAGAAGCTCATGACATGAAACGCCATCTTGCCGAGTCTACGTACCGTGTGGAGTCTCCCGTGGTCAGATCAGGAATGTCAGGTCCTCGGACCTCCTTGGTACTGGACTGATGAAACAGTGTTGCAGCACGACAAAACCCGTCTACGGATTGCTCCCGGCAGTAGTGGCAGGTCTCAGCGCGTTCAGCTTTTATTTTGAAGGAACCGTCGTCTTGTTGTTCAAACAACAGAATTTCCAGCTTGACAGTTCTCAGCTTAAAAGTAGAAAAATACAGCTGGCCAGTCTGTAATCTCCTTTAGCTATGATGATTTGAGAGCTGGTTGAAACTACGTTGAGTCTATGATGTAACTCCGTTGGAGCTGAGATGGAACTGCCATTAAAATGGCGTTGCTCTGTTTTATTAACTTAGTTGTTTATAATTCTTAGCCAATCGGAGTGGATAGATTAAACAAACACTACAGAACTCTGCCCCACTACAGACCGGAGGTTCTGATTGGAATGAGCGAACAATGTGTCATGATGTTTACCTTATGGGAATCAGAGTGTCTGGCATAGTTAGTCCTGTTATTCAATAAACACATAAATCATTACATTGATTTCACAGATCAATCACCTGATTATTATTGACTAACAGTTGTTTGATTAGCTTTATTAGAAATAAAGTTCTTTGATTAATTAATGAAAAACGTTCTTCGTCCTTCTTCCGTCTTCTTTCCTGGAATGTAAGCATGAGAAAGAAGCACCCGACCTTGGCGATTCCTGCACACTGTTACTGTGTGAAGGGGCAGCTGTTAAGGGCAGATATTAGTATCTTCATAACGCTACAGCCGTGAACTTTAACTTGCGTCATGGAGATATGGTGAGTGAGTCTTGTCCAGTCACGTACGCTGATTAAATATATGGGTCATAGGGATGGGTACCTTTGACATTTGAATCGATTCGGTACTAATTCCTGGTACCTAGGAATCGATACCGGTACTTAACGGTACCAATTTTCGATACTTTTGAGTGTTTATTATTTTAATTCTCTTTTATAATTAAATACATATTTTTCTCAATATATAACAATATTTGATAAATATCACGATAAATAACATTCAACTGTTTGTATTTTAACATCGTCCTTGTAGTTTTATAAGCTGATAATTAAACTGAAGCAAACATCTTTACTGTGAACTAAATTTACTGTGTATCTTCATTCCTTTGGCCGTCTTTTTTCATTTGATTTTTCCTACTGGGAAGTTAGACTTTCCGAGGAGAAAGCGAACACACCATTAGCTGATAACAATGGTGGCAATGGAAGCTAACAGATCAAGCTAACGTTATCTTTAACAGTTTATTTAACTGCTGGAGCAGATTAAAACGATGATGCCTCACACTTAGATCATTGTCACTGGTTTCATCTTCACCCAATCACCCGTCGCATTTAGTAAAGTGAAGCCAAACTTTAGAGCGCGTTCATGTTCTTCTAGTCAGATATTCGGAGTTCCGAGGAGAAAGTGAACGCACCATTAGTGAAACGGAAGCTAACATATCAAGCTAACCTTATCTTAAACATTTTATTTACCTACCGGAGCAGATCAGGATGTCTCACTTAGATCGTTGTCGCTGGTTTCATCATCACCCAGTTACCCATCACATTTAGTGAAGTGGACCCAAGTTTTAGCGTGCATTCTTTCTACCATGGTGCTCTATTTACAACTGGCTCGCAGCGAGCGACGACATAACGCTCTTGTGCATGCGCAGCTGTCTTGGCAAGTTCTCTTTATGAAGGACGGGTACCGAAACGAGGCACCGTTTGAAATTACGTGGATCGGTGCTCGGTCGGTACTATGGAATTCGGTCGGTACCTTAAAAAGTACTGAATTCGGTACTCATCCCTATAGGGTCATATATTTAATTTCATCCTTATTAATCTAAGCACAGATTAATCAAAACATTTCATTTAACCACATTGTTCATTCATTATGTGATTATTTAAGTATTCCATTTAACCATATTGTTCATTATATTAACACTTCATTATTTATAATATATTCTTATAAAAGTTCAATTCATTGAATGATCTAATTATGAAAGTTCATCCTTCTTGTTCTGTGATGCAAAGCAGTCTTAGATAAGAGGGAGCTTGTGAGGGACCTTGGGCAAACAACAGTATCTTTCTTGCAGATTAAAGGCGGGAGCTGCAGACTTATGTCTCTATCTGACTGGATACTGGAGAGGTCAAACTATAGATAAAATACTGACCATTTCTGGAGGCTACACAACTCATAAATTAAATAATCCTGATATTGTCCTGTGGGATGATGTGGGTGATGGGGTGGAGGGTCTGAGTTTCGAGTATCCAGACTTTCCCTGGAGGTGGGTTCACTGGGGGCGTCTGGGACTGGGGGGCTGCTGCCCCCCTCTGGAGGTGCTTGGGTTGCCTTGGGGGGTGGACTACTGGGTTGTGAGTGAGGCCCCTTGGGGGTCTTGGTGGTGGCCATGGGTTGCTGCTTGGCAGCTGCATTGCCCCTGAGCAGGTCTGGGTGGGGGCTCGGGGGGTGGGGGGTGGCCGGCCCCGTGTGGGGATCTGGGTTGGCCTTGGGGGCCGGGTCCTGACATGTATGCTAACCTTCTGGATTTGGAGGCCGGATAGATAGTGGATTTATGTCTTCAAATCAATGGGTCAATTCGATGGTGAAAATTGACCCATTTGGTATGTTACACGTGTCCAGACCAGACTTAGAGAAACTCATTCATGCTTTTATTTCTAGCCATTTGGACTACTGCAATGGTCTCCTCACTTGTCTTCCCAAAAAAGCTGTGAAGCCACTGCAGCTTGTTCAGAATGCTGCTGCTAGAGTCTTAACAAGAACTAAGAGAATGGAGCACATCACTCCTGTTCTTAGATCTCTACACTGGTTACCAGTAACCTACAGAATATATTTCAAAGTGCTCCTACTAGTTTATAAATCACTCAATGGCATGGGTCCAAAATACATATCAGATCTCATCCCAGCATATACACCCAACAGGGCTCTGAGATCCTTAGGAAACAGTCAGCTGGTAGAACCTCGGGTCAGAACCAAACATGGTGGCAATGCTTTTAGTTACTATGATTCTCACATATGGAATCAGCTTCCCCAGGACCTCAGATCTGCCCCAACTCTAGTGTTGTTTAAATCAAAACCTAAAACCCTAATGTACTCATCAGCCTTTGAATGAATTTTTTCTTATGCTGAATCGTCTCCACTGTAATCTGTGATGTAATTGCTCAACCTTAATTCTGCCCTTTCCCTTTAGCTCTAAATCATAATTTTATCTGTGTATATGTTTAATTTGTGTTCTCCTGTTTATTGTCGTGCCATTTCATGCTAATTGTAAAGCACATTGAATTGCCTCTTTGTTTGAAATGTGCTATATAAATAAAGCTGCCTTGCCTTTGGACAAAGAATTAATAATATTCTCCTGTTCTAAACATTAAACCACTCAATCCTGTTAAATGAGTATGAGAGTTTTGATAAAATTGTAGTTATATTATTTCTGTATCCAGTGCGTAGCTCCACAAACTACAAGTACAAAAACACGTTGAATATCACTCCCCTTTTATTGAGGATTAGTCTTACACACATTTAAAATTAAAAGAGAACACATATAAATCGTTCAAAAGAAAAATACACATTTTAATTGTACATAAATATACCAAATTATTATCTTGTTCTATGTCCAGGAAAAGCATGTTTCCCTCATTTCTGAATTAACCTTTACAACATGTTGACCTCACGTGAGTCTGGCTGCAGTATTTGAAATGTAATTATGACTTTTACAGCTTTTCTAAACCAGGGGTAAAATAATGCATAGATCACTGGGTTAAGAGTGGAGTTAAAATAGAGTAGAAAAAGAGAAAAGGTGGAAAATGACCCATTTCCTGCAAAAGACACACAATGATATGGGCAGAAACAAATGAGAAAAACTATTACAAGTACACCAAGAGTCTTGGCTGCTTTCAATTCAGATTTTTTTGATGTGTGAGTCAATGAAAACTGGAGTGTGACGGCTGTAATGTGAGCTTGCATGATACGAGCTTGAGACACAGCCACAATGAATACTCTCATATACAAAACTATAATTACCAAAACTGGAACAACAAAGCTTACAACTAGATCAATTGTTCCTGAAACATAGTCAACTATCATTATACATTGACCCAAACTCTGTCTCCCTGGCTTTGTAAAGTCATTTTTTACAATAAGGCTGCCATAGAAAACAGAGTAGAGCCAACTGAGACAAACACAGACTTTAACAGTTTTCTCAGTGACTTTGGTGGAGTAATGCAGAGGATCACAAACCGCCAAATATCGATCGACTGATATTAGCACTATGTCTACTACTGAAGCAAATGTAATGATAAAGGATAATTTAAAATAAAAAGAACAAAACAGATCACTAAGAAACCAGCAGGTTGTGTTTCTAATGATTTCAAAAGGCATCAGCAGGAGACCAACGAGTAAATCTGACACAGCCAGAGAGAGGAGGAGGATATTAGTTGGTGTATGGAGCTGCCTGGAAAGATATAAAAACACACAATCTGATTAACTATCTAACACACTTTAAAACATTGAAAAAATATCTCTGGTGTAAAGTGAAAGGCTTTAGTCCTGAGCCACAGTAGATCACTAAATCAGTTTAGTATATTTTAATTTAGCATTCTGTCCAGTTCTAAAAATTGACTAAAAAATATTTTAAGTAAATTAAAGATGAGTTTTAATCTACCTGAAGTGGGAGACTGAAATGATAACAAAGAGGTTGAGAGCAGCAGTGAGCAGAGAGATTGACGATGGCATTATTTGTAGGAGTACAACTTCACTCCAGTGAGAGCCAGGCTTGATGCAGGAGGTGTTGGAGGGTTGTGGACAGTAGAGATCTGTTCCAACCTGCATCTCCATCTTCATGCACTGATTCAAATGTGCTGCCTTGCCTGTTTTGTGCTCACTCTTAAGTTTTATAATGGGTTCTTTGTAGCTTGTAACTCCTCCCCCTTGTTATTTTATTTTGCAACACTCATTTTCCACAACTGACTACTGTAATCAGCATCAACACTGTTATTTGTATACAAACAGATATAACCATAACATTTTGGGTGCTGAAGACAGCATTTCAAAAAAATTAAATAATTATCAAATACATTTTATAAAAGAAAAAAAAATGAATGCATGATTATTGATATACTGTACACAACCTACTTGCTTGTCACATGCTCCCCTTGAACTACATACTAAATTTACATATAATGTATGAAACGGAGTAGGATGAAGTATTAACTTATAAAATTCCTACTCTTATATTAACAATTTCGTTAACTCAGGAGGGGGTGCTGGAGAGCACAGTAAGACCAGTGGCCTCATTTATCAAAGTACTTACGCACAGATCTGTACATATTTTGTGCATAGAAACTTATATATGCATTGTGTGGTATTCTTCATTTTGTACTTGTGCGTGAAAATATTCCTACATATAAGAAAATCTCAGATCATGCATACAAACAGCATCTATACTATGTTCCAAATTATTCCCCAGCTACCACTTCTTGAGCTCGGGTAGAATTTGGCACTTATGTTGGCATTTTTTTTCCACATATAAATTGGTTGTTCCACCTTCAGACTGCTTTGCCGAGGATTTTGAATAATTTCTTCCAGGTCTTGTGGCCTAATCAGTGCTATGATTGGTCTGTGAAGGTGTGCCAAATTATTAGCCCAATTTTAACAGATTTTCTTGGGGTTTCCGACTACTTCAACTGGTGGGGCTTGGGGGGGGGAGGGGGGTCATCCTCCAGGAACCTCTGGCGGTGGACGTGGCCTTGTGTGGTGAACCCAGAGGTTCTGTTCACTGATATCCTGGAGATCTCCTGCTGCAGGCCCGAAGTCCAGCGAACCCAGTCGCACACCACCAGAGGCCAGCAGAGAGTGTTGTGGAGCAGCTGCATCCAATTACTCATCAGCCGTTCCTGAAGCCGTTTTAATCATTTCATCATTCAGGGAGACACAGCTACAGAAGAGACTCAGTGTTAAAACTGTGAACTCTCTAAGGCCTAGTCCACACGTAGCCAGGTTTTTTTTAAAACGAATATCCGCCCCTCCAAAAACGGCATGCACACCACCTCGTTTAAAAAAAAACTCTGTCCACGCGTACCCGGATAAATACGTTGCCAGACCTGTAGGCGGCAGTACTTCCCCCATTCTTAACCTTGTCCTTCGTCTGTGGTCTTCCGCAAGGAGCAGTAATTCCGCTTGCTAAAACAAACAAGCAAAAAGCGCTTGGACAATTGATAAAGCGAGCGCAGCTCTGAGGGCATCCATGCTGTCGGCTAGAGTAAACACAGGTCGCACACGTGATGTCAGCATTTTTTTGTCGCGGAAAGTGACGTTGCGGACCTGAAAACTCCGGTTTTGTCTGTCCACACGCAGACACCCAAAACGGAGAAAACGCAGATCTTCACTTTGGCCGGAGTTATTAAAAAGATCCGTTTTCGTGTGAAAAAACTCCGTTTTCGTGTGGACGACAGGCCAAAACGTAGAAAAATATCGACGTTTTGGCAGATCCCCGGCTACGTGTGGACAGGGCCTTAGACTCTGTATCTAGTTACTGTGATCTCCATTCGTAGGTTTTGGCTTGCTGTCAGTGTCCTAGAGTTTTTGACATAGATATTTGATAAAAGTTTAAAGTGGTATCCCATAATGAACAAAAATTTGTCAAGTTCTCTACAGAGAAGGTTCTTTTATTTGACACATGGATATCAGCTTCTAAAGTCTCCACTTTTACTGAATTAGAAGAGTTAATCCTCCTTGAGGAATTTAAGAAATGTTTGCTGGAGCGCACTGTGCTTTACCTGAATGAACAAAAAGTTACGACTCTGTCTTCAGCAGCTCTTCTTGCCGATGAGTGCATTAACCCACCACGTGGGTGGAAACCTCCCTATCAGAGAACCTAAGCTTCCTTCTGTGGTGAGATCAGCTCCCCCGGTTCCTGGATATTGTAGTCCACCGAGGAGGGTGAGCCAACCGAAATGTTTTTACTGCCATAGGTCTGGACATTTGGTGAAAGATTGTTTTAAGTGCTATTGTGGCAGGCGGTGGGCGCCTGTCAGCCCTGTAACCGGGGCCTAGAGGATTCCACACACCGGTTCTTGGACTTGGGGCCAGCTGGAGCTCTTTGATGGGAAACCCAGAATGCGGCCATCTTTGGTTCAACGATGCTCTTCAGATTCAGATTTCAGATTTATTGGCCAAGTAAAATTACATTTACAAGGATTTTGGCTTCGGTAGATGTTCGCTCTCTAAAACATACAACAACTACAATAAATGAGAATAAAAATACGTTAAAAACACATAAGAACATGGATACCCACACACATGTTCATTTACACACACCAATATGTATACATATATGCATACAAGTACACACACATATACATATGTATACACACACACACACACACACACACGCGCACACACACACACACACACACACACACACACACACACACACACACACACCCATAAGCATACTGAATAAGTATTTAAAAAAAGTATAATAAAAGGATGGTAAAATAATCTACAGATTCAGGAGAGAAATGGCTGAAGGAAAGAAACCGTTCTTGTGTCTGGTAGTTTTTGTGTACAGTGATCTATAGCGTCTGCCAGATGGGAGGAGATGGAAGAGAGTAGATGCAGGATGTGTGGCATCTTGGACAATATTCACTGCCTTTTTCCTGGTCCTGCTGATGTACAGTTCCTGGACAGAGGGCAGTTGGGCACCTATGATTTTTCCTGCTGTTTTAATAATACGCTGTAGTCTGCATTTTGCCATTTTTGTGGCTGACCCAAACCAGACAGTGATGGATGAGCAAAGTATGGATTCGACTGCAGCAGTGTAGAAGATGATCAGCAGCTCTTGTGGTAGGCCGTACTTCCTTAGTTGCCGTAAGAAATACATCATCTGCTGAGCCTTTTTGACGATGGAGTAGATGTTTGTCTCCCACTTCAGATCCCTGGAAATGGATCTTTTTTTCGCACGTCCATCACTCTCACTCACGTTTGGATTGTTTTCTAGTCAGCAGCTCATTGTTGGCTGAAATTTCAGACACTGAGATACACCCCATAGTTGTCAGCGACCATGCTCCAGTTTCTTTAACTCTGGTAAATAAAAAGACAATCCCACCAAGCAAAAACTGGAGGTTTAATACATCACTGCTTAAAGACGAAGCTTTTATTGATTTTTTTAAAAAGGAGTGGGCTTTATATTTAGAACATAATGACCTGCCTGGAACATCAGCACCTATTCTTTGGGAGGAAGGAAAGGCAGTGATGAGAGGTAAAATAATCTCTTTCTCATCACATAGGAAAAAAACAGAAAACAAACGTATTCAGGAGTTAGAGGAAATCATCAAGTCTTTAGAGGCATCCACAGAAGAAGAGTCAATGAGCAAATTACGTAAAGCTAAATTAGAACTTCATGGAATCATTGACAAAAAGACACAATTTTTAGCACAAAGACTACGAATAGAAAACTTCGAACATAGTAATAAATCAGGTAAATTCTTAGCTAGCCAATTAAAAATAAATAAAGAGAAAACTACCATATCTGCTGTTAAAGACTCAACTGGGAATATAGTTTATGACCCTGAAAGAATAAACAACACCTTCAGAGACTTTTACCAAACGTTGTACTCACCACAGATAAACCCATCAGATCATGAGATCAATGAGTTCCTTGACAGGATAACACTTCCTAAATTATCAGACAGCCAAGTTACAGTCCTGGACTCGCCACTAACATCAGCGGAGCTCCAGGAAGCCCTTAAATCCATGACTAATAGGAAAGCTCCAGGTCCAGACGGGTTCCCAGTAGAATTCTACAAAGAATTCTGGATCATTCTGGCTCCAACATTTTTCAGAATGGTGAGAGAAATCGAAGAGAGCGGCAGATTACAGCCGAACATGAATTCAGCCAATATTAGTCTCTTGTTAAAACCAGGCAAAGACCCAGCATTTCCAACCAGCTATCGCCCAATTTCTCTTATTAATGTTGATCAAAATAATTTGTAAAGCCCTGGCCAAAAGATTAGAGAAGGTAACCCCCTTCATAATACACCCTGACCAAACTGGTTTCATTAAAGGTAGACAGTCATCCACAAACTCACGTAGATTACTTAATTTGATAGATTTCTCTTACAGTAGAAACATAGAAACTAGTATATTATCTCTAGATGCAGAAAAAGCTTTTGATAGAGTTAACTGGAAGTTCTTATTTGCAACTTTACATAAGTTTGGCTTTGGGAACTTCTTCATAAACTGGCTACAAACATTATACAGTTCACCAACAGCACGTGTCAGGACGAACGACCAAATATCAGCTAGCTTCTGTCTTCAGAGGGGGACCAGGCAGGGATGCCCACTCTCCCCCTCACTATTTGCTATCTTTATAGAACCACTAGCAGCAGCAATTAGGCAAACAACAGACATTAAAGGGATAAAGTGTAAGAAAATAGAACATAAGATCAGTCTTTATGCAGATGATGTTTTACTCTTTCTCCAGAATTCTCAATCCTCTCTCTCCCAAGCAATAGAACTGTGTAACGTGAGGAAATATGGGTTTTTCTGTCACAAAGGTGGTGTTGGACTAAGCTGTGTCAAAGCTGGGTCGCTGAGAACTTTCATCCACAGATTAAGACCTGAACGCCAGCGAGTCTGGGAGGAAACCATAACATCTGCCACCTGCAGCTTCGTGCCAGAAGATGTTGTTCCCACAGAAGATGTTGTTCCCATAAAAGTAGTCATAACATAACAAGTCTTAAAACTTTGTTTCTTGATTTTAATGTTAAAGTAACCATTATCATTTTGCTCATTATAAATGTGTTTTAATCAAATGAATGACTATTAGGCTTTGGGTAATTATAATGGATTAATGAAGCCATTCTTAAATAATGTTGAGGATGTTTGTTGCTAACCTTCACACACACTCAAGCACACAAACATTCACACACACCCACACACATCTGCTCACAGTAAACTCCAAAACACATTTGCTGACGCACACGTT